CAGACAAAACCGAAATCATTGTCTTTGGTCCCCAGAAACAAAGAGAGGGCGTCATTTGTCAACTTCAGTCTCTCTCCCTACTTCCTTCAGACAAGGTCAGAAATTTGGGGGTAATACTGGACTCAGACCTAAATTTCAATAGCCACATAAAATCAATAACATCAACAGCTTTTTACCATCTGAAGAACATTGCCAAAGTTAGAAATATAGTGTCCAGGGCAGACTTGGAGATTCTTGTCCATGCATTTGTCTCCAGCAGGCTAGACTACTGCAATGGCCTGCTTACAGGTCTGTCCAAACAGACCTGTAAGCAGCTGCAGTACATCCAAAATGCAGCAGCTAGAGTCCTGACAGGAACCAGGAAGTATGACCATATTAGTCCGGTCCTCAGGTCTCTGCACTGGCTTCCTGTGGCTCAAAGAATAGATTTTAAAACGGCTCTGCTTGTGTACAAGTCTCTCCATGGCCTTGCACCAGAATACATTAGTGACATGTTGGTGTCATATGAACCAGCCCGGACTCTGAGGAGCACAGGGACTGGCCTCCTGCTGGTGCCCAGAGTGAGAACCAAACATGGGGAGGCTGCGTTTCAGATCCAAGCAGCTAAGATCTGGAACAATCTCCCTGAAAATGTGAGGGAGGCGTCTACTCTGTCAATGTTCAAATCCAGGTTAAAGACTGTTCTGTTTGCCTGTGCATACAACTGAAGGATTTTATCTCCATTTTTAATGCACTGCTGTCATTTATTTATTTATTTAAATTTCTTGTGTAATTTTGAAAGTTTTAATGGTTTTATTCTTTTGTGTGATTTTAATGTTTTAATTGTGTTTTAATCTTTTGTGTGATTTTAATGTTTTAATTGTGATTCTGGTGTTTGTTTTATGTGATGATTTGTGATGTGGACTGTGAAGCGCTTTGTGTTGCCATGTGTATGAAAGGCGCTCTACAAATAAACTTTGATTGATTGATTGATATTATTATTACATTGACATACAATCACGGATGTATATTACCTGTATACGCTTTTGTGGCTTAAATTCATTTCCAGCATGTAAAGGGGCCACCCGCAGCATTGCAGCTTTAATCAATATGAACTAAAACTATTCTATAAATTTTGTGCAACAAACTCTGCTCGCTCTTGTCCCACTCTAGCTCTGCTCTGATCAGAGCTGCACTGATTGATCAGATTGCTCACTTGTCCGTCTGAGCAAGAGAGCAACATGCAACTTGCAGAGTTCATGATTAAAACCGGGGCATGTACATTTCAAACCTTAAAAATGAAACTCTGCTCTGAGTTTAGTTCCATCACTAGTTTTCACATGCATGCATAATTTTCCCCTGTCTCAGCTTTTTCAGACAGAACTGAAAAAGAGAGGACCCCATCACTCAGACAATGAGCTCTCAGCCCAAAAAGTTAAATAGTACCTCACAGGCCTTTTTACTGCTATGCAAAACATTTTTTCCGAAATGAAGACAGCATTTGTGGTCTGATATTTTCACAACATTTTACTTTTACAAGACACTTTGTTAGACAAAACCCCAGCTGGCCAAACGTGAACAAAATAAATGCAATATATTTGTTCTTCAATAAGTAATTTAAATTATAAGAGACAATTATTAACTTGACAAAAATGTTTACTTCTTCCACCATTGGTTTGAACAAACACCTTCCCTTTAAACAGCTGACAAACATGACGTGCGCTCTGTTGTCCACTAGGAGGCAAGACAGTTCCACAGTTGGCAGCTGCAGTCCGGATGCGCACTGGTTTGAAACGCTGTCAGGACTAGAGCCAGAAAATATCAGATCACCGCTTGTGGAAATAAAACTGAAACAAATATAATTACAGAATGGCTTTGACTTGTTTCATCCGATTTCTCTCTATATAAGTACTATTTAACTGATTACAATGGATTTAACAGATAAAAATGTTTATTTTAGAATGATATTGAAAATAAAGCAAGTTCACTAAACAATACTAAGACTTTGAAAGAAAGATCAGTGTTGAACTTTATCCCACTCCTTTTTATTTATTTTTATATAACTCAAAATTAAAACAAGTAGTTGACTCGGACTGCAGAGTTGTTGATTCGCCAACAGAGAATCAAACAGTTAAACAGTGAACATATTAAATGGCTTCTTTTTGCATTTCCTAAGTAAGAAGCCACTTTAGGGCCATGTAGGGAATGTGCAGTTGTTTGGTGTAACCTTTTAATGTGCTAAAGCCCACGAATGTGTTTGCCCCTTTTTCTTTAATATGTTTGCACTTGAGACGATGTGTTTTTCTGTAAATGCCTGTTTGTGAGGTTTTTTCTAGTACCTCTGATGCCCAAGACACATTTCTTCATCTGGAGACAATATAAAGGCGTATCTTACCTTTCACATCATGAAGAGACGTTTTCAAACACAAGTTAGACTCACCCATGAACTGATTAAATAAAATACAACTTTTCTAAGTGGTAAATAAGTAATCTTCATGTATTGTATATATGGCATATTTTACAGACCGAGGTCACACAAAGAACTTTTACCATTCAATTCACACACAGTGATGAACGAAACGGGACGCCAAACGCACTGGCGCATCGAAACCTCCAACCACCACGACCCATTGGTTGATGGAGCTGAAACTACTTGACTTCTGTTTCTGGAAAAGTGTTGCAACATGGACAAAAGTTAATAAATAGGTTTTAGCACAATGCCTCCTAAGCAAGTTGCTTTGTTATTGTTCACCAATGAAACAGATTTTTCTTACATGTACAAAACGACACAAGGGGAGTCAGTGGGATCCGGAACACGAGACTGGGTCAAAACAACAGCATAAAACAGGCTTTGAGCGTTGCTGGAGAACGCGCAGTCTCCAGCCGTCCCGGTTTGAAACGCCCTTTGAAGTTTGAGCTGGGAACAGACGTACTTTGAAAGGCAGCGGCCCGTTTGCAGAATTATGCATGGGCACAATCATCAGAACCATTGGAGCTCTTTGATGACGAGACGTTATCGCGGGTGTGCGCACAGATCACAAACCCCAATGTACTTTTTGAAAATCGCACCAGTAAATGTCAACTGTGCGCGCGCTCAGATTAGCACAGAAACACAAGAGTGTGATCGTTTCATTATTTTAGTTTTGGAGAGAGAGCTGGTTTCAGGTGAGTTTAACTGACTTCAAAATGGGACTTCAGAGAGCTTTAGAGGCGCTCACATCAAAGAGACGCGTTTGTCTGTGCAAGCTTTGTAGTGATGACATGACTTTCAATAATTCAGGTTATGTCTTGAGTTTGCGGCAAGTTAATTGCGAGTTGATTGGAAAAATCTTGATTAAGCGAGTTAGCTGCCAAAATAGCAATTGTTGGCCACTCAAAGACACTTCACATGGCATTATTAATTCACTCCGTACATGGTGGTAGTAAACAACTTCTGTAGCTTCAGCTGCCCTGAGGCACATTGACTGAAGTAAGACAAATAGTTTGTTCCATTGACCCTTCCAACCACCACCAACCATTCATGCAGACACCAGACTCAAACTAGAAATGGGGTCTTACAACAAAAGTTTGGCAGTTTACGGCTGCAGCCACCCCACTGTGGCACCTGGTGTGGCAAATGGTGTTTCCAGACGTCTCCCATCACAGGACTAATCAGGCCTGTCCCTGCTTTGCTTCAGATGTCTGGCATGAAAGCAGATGGCACCACAAGGTAGTGAATATTTTGGATTCTATTTACTCAACAAAATAAAGATTTTAATGTTTTAACAAATGTGTTAAATACTTACTAAAAGTAGTGTATAACTTCAAACTGTGAAATATTCCAGGTCACCTGTGGCTTAGGGCAAAGTGGAGTAAACTCTAAATAATCTCTAGTAAGAGATGATTTTAAAACAGTGCGCCTGCTGTTAGACCCCACTATGTTCAATTTAGACTTAGCAGACAACATCAGAAAAATACTCCAAAAAGGACACTTGTAAAGAAAGCACACAAGCAAAAAAAAACCCATAATAATTTTAATCCATGAGTGCATTGAACATACAAAGAAACCATACCCACCAAGAACATGAGAGTGACCTATTTTTAGACCCACCCTAAGCTATGTGAGATGGGCTCATGAAGTATTTGTGTGGATGAAAGATTGATTGGACAGTGAGCCAGGTCAAAAGGCATTCTGCCCAATAAACAGTAAATTTAGTGGAAATAATAGTTGACGCCATGTTATAGATACATCACCACATGTAAATACTTGTCACTACATGCACAGATCTGAACTCTCACTTTGACAGAGCATTGTGAACCATTTAGCTGAAACTTAACTAGTCTGAAAAAATCTAAACCATTCACACTTTATTGTTGTAGAAACACAACATAAATAGCTGCTGATACAGTATGACCAACACGGACAGATTCATCAAAATTAAACAATGAATTAAAAACACCAGAAAACTCTTGCATCATTTACAAAACATGGTGTCCCTGTGCTTGCAGACACACGTGGCCCCACAGTTCAGAATACTTACACTCGGCTCACACAATGAGAGTGAGAATCAGGGCGTCACAAAGCATAGATATGAGGATGTTTACAGTGCTGGTCACCTCGGCCCCTGTGTCCCCCTCTGGCACCTTGCCCCCCTGCCACACAAGTGCATATATGCACAATGTAAACATTTGCTCTTCTTCTGGTCTATGTGCCAGACGCTTCTCAGTGAAAACAAAGAATGGACCAAACAGAAAACAGATGAAGTCCTGTGTAGAACTTCTTCTGTGTAAAGTCCAGAGTCCAGAGACCTGTGCTACGGAGGTTGACCTGTACAGCCCAACAAGCTTGCTGAGGACTCTCGGACTCAGGGCACAATGCACAGCATTGTTAGCACCCCGCAATACTTTTGTCTCTATTCATTTTTCCCCCTGTCTTTTTTTTACAAAACACTTGGTCATTGAGGAGCAGGAACAACATGACAGTTGCTGATTCAGAGTTCTACCAAACAAAGTCTCTTTGGCAGAAAGTGCCCTTCGTATTGTTACCTTTTACCAATTTCACTTTGGCGAAGAAAGTGGATGTTATTGGTGCTGTCTGCCAGTTCTGGGTACTGCTCAATAGAGAGCACATAATAGCCATCATAGCCAAGCACTTTCCCTCCGCTAAGAAGCTGTCTCTTCTCGCCTTCAGTCCAGGGCCTGACCCCTTCCTCTCCGTCTCGAACTCGCTGCTGTTCACTGGCCCAGGCTCCGGCCAGAGCGCGCTGTCGGGCCAGCTCCACTACGCGAGCCTTCTCCTCGTCCACTGTGGAGCCATAACGGATGTGCAGACCCAACGCACCTGCGCGGATCTCCACGTCTGCGAAGCGCCGTGTACGACTGTCCATAACTGTGGTGGACTGGGACACGGTCACATTGATGCCGTTGTCCAGTGTCTTGTGACCACTGGTCAGGTGCAGCGCAGCCAGGTCTGAGTCCGGAAGACCCGGCTTCACAAAGTAGTGCGTGTCACGGCCCTCCACAGTGAAGTGCAAGTGCTCCAGGTAAAAAGCGTTGTTGAGGATCGTGGCCACCTTCACACAGTCCTCACTGGCCACATTGAGAGAGTGCGTGTGGACGCTGCCTTTGTAGATGGCAAACATCACAGCTCGACCGATAGGAGACAGCGCAGCAGAGAACCAGAGCCAGGACTTCTCACCTCTGCGGCCGCGGCGCAGATGGACTTCTGGCAGACGCTCAAAAGACAAGAGCGAGTGTGCCTGTCTGCTTACTTCCTGCTGGACCCCAGAGATGGCCTGTAGGAAAGATGCAATGAAACGTTAACATCTGAACATGGCACAAGCTGACTGTGCAGGCCACTTAGAAGCAGCCGCTGCTCTGCTTCACACACTCTCTGCCCTCAGATAATCGTGTTTTCAAGCCAAAAGAACAGAAATCCCTTTGACATTTTTAGCAACACATCTTGTGTTAATGCCTCCGTCTGAAAAGGCTCTACATTTATAGCTTCAAAGGCTCTTTTCTAACATTGGCAGCAACACTATACTACAATGTTATCTGCAGAAGCTGTTGAACTGTTGGCTTTAACAACAAGGCAGAGGAATGTTATGCAACTTCTTATACAAATCTGGCCCAATTAAAATGCAGTTTGTCAAAGGCAAAGCAGTCCAATTAAAAGAGCAGCTGAACTTTTCTCTACAAAAGCACATCTTCTGTGAAATTATGAATACTATAAATGAACATATACTGACCGGCAGGTCGTCCCAGAGCTGGCTCTTGATCAGTTCATATGAAGCCGTGCCTATATCAAACTTCGGCACCGGGAACCCAGGAATGGTGTTGTGGAGATGAAAACCAAACGTGACAAGCCAGCTGTTGATGTCTACAGAATGGTAAATAAAAAGTGTGCATTAAACATAACAACAAACACCTAAACATATGTACGTTAGTGTATCTGCTGTATCTGTGTTGGATTAGTGTGTAGTGTGTGGAGACGTAACCTATGGAAGCCCCAGTGTTTACCTGAACCGCAAATAAGCAAACTCAAACAGGCTCCATGAGGGTTGGAGCTAACTCAAACAGGCTCCATTGTCTGTAATCTAGAGTCAAATTGTCTTATGGTAACTATTTAGTAACCAAAGCAAAATAAGCAAAATACTGAATGAATACGTAAGATTTTCATGTCAAGTCATCATTAAATGGCCCTAATATGTCAAATGGCATTAATAACCTACTGTAGCCTCTTTTTGAAAACTTCTTCAACAGTAGTTCAGACAGGATATTCACATTTCGCAGTACATATTACTTACTACTACTAGAGATTAGCAGAATGCTTCTCCGCTGGATTCGGGGCATATCCGACACCTGAGTCAGGGAGAGTGGGAGAGAACTACAGAATATTGACTGTGTTTGCAGTACCACTTTTGGCCAGATTTTTACCTATTGCCCCTTAAATGATATAGTTGTTGAGAAAATGTATAACCCATATTGACCGCTGACCTACAATGCTCACAAGTTAATAATACTAATTGAAATAAATTAGGAAACAAGCCTGATGTGGAGCGTTTAATCTTCGTTTATCAGATCAAGGATGCAGAGTATGAGGAATTTACATATCAATGTAAGTCAAGGGTGCCAAAGGAGCAAAACCTAATCAAAGCCTTAGCATCGCCCACTCCTTCTACAGATACATCAGGAGCTGTGTGCCTCAGTTGGAAAAATACATTGTGGTAATCTATTTCTTTTGTGTACTGTTGTTTTAATATTTGTTTTGCAAATCACTTTGTGTAAATGTGTTATACGAATACACTTGTCATATATAACTTACCTGCCACATATTCTCGGACTTCGTGGACTTTGCTGATGGGGTTGTTATTTCTAAACATGTACATGTTAAATGGGGCAGGCTCTTTGGCAACCCTCTTCCACATTGAGATGTCGGGGGCCGTCCACCTGCCAGACATGATGTCATAATCCCTCTCTCCAAAGTGCAGCAGCTTGGTCAGTGGATCATAGAGGCCTCCGTGGAAGCCCAACACCAGCTGGAAGTCTGGATTCGAGTCCAAGTAGATTTCCCCGTACGCAGTGTACTGGAGCTGTTTGACGAGCAGCCCGTTGCTTGTGAACACGGCGAGCGGCGTTCCGGTATTGTCACAAGCAATGTAGAACTCTTCGCCACTGCTTATCTCCATTGCAAACAGGTGTCCTTGGAGATCATAGTAGAATGAGGTAATCTCTGAGCTGGAGTGGTTGTAGACGTGGGTAATCCGAGCTGGGTAGCTGAGATCAGCATAGAAATACTGCAAATGTTGACCTAAGCTAGACTTGGCGGAAACTCTGCGTGCCAACCCGTCGTAGCGGTACTGAATAGTCCATCCGGTGCTTTTGCTGTACACCCTCACCAGCAGGCCCTTAGAGTTGTATTCAAAAATCTCTGCCCCCCTTTGGCGCAAGTAGCCATCTTCATCCAGTCTATACTGAACATCCCCTAGACGAGTGATGCGGTCGCGCAAATCATATCTTAGTGGAAGTAAGCGTGCACTTGTTCCAGTGTTGAGCAAATGCAGATTCCCGTTCAGGTCGTAGGTATAGCGCCACATGACTTTTTCGTTCAAATACACCGTCATGAGCTGGCCATCCACGTCATATTCGTAGGCGTACTTAGTGGTGTTGGCGAACGGTCCAATCTTCAGCTCCCGTTTAGTCAGCCTGCCTACATCGTCATACTGAAATGTGATCCAGTACATCAGCGAGCGGAAGATTTCATACTGGATTTCCTTAATTCGTCCGTGTGCATCAAAGTGCTTGGTGTAAGTCATGACCGCAGTGGATATGATCTGGTTTATGTCATAGTAAATGACGCCAAATTTGCCGAACTGCTCAATCTTTCCAGATATGTCGTCAAATTGGTACAAATCTATAGGCAGTGGGGTTTCGTTGATCACACCCTGCACACTGGTGACACGCAGGTTGCTGTCGTAGGTGTAATCAAAGCGTGCGTTCACCATTCCGTCTTCGCTGAACCTGAATATCTGCCGATCTATCAGCGGGCCTATTTGCCTGTAGCGTATAGAACAGATGAAGCCTTCGCTTTGAAGATTTACTGTTTTTAGCACACCGGCAGTTTCATCATAAGTGAAGCTAACTCGCGTGCTGTCGTACAGGACTTCGGACAGCTTATTCTGCCGCCGATAGTTGTACAGAACTCTACGACCAGTTCCAAAGTGTGCCACCCTGAGTAGGAGGCCGTCTTCGGTGTAATCCACGGCTACAGACGCGTTGCTTTCCGGTGGGTGGAAGATGTTGCGATAGTATCCCACGGAGCGGATGGTCTGCATGGTGTAGCGGGCCACACTTGGCATGGTAACAGCCGAGAGCCGGTCCAGGGAATCAAAGTCGAATATGTACTGGCGCTGACTGTGCAGAAGCAGGACCATGGACTGGGGAGAGAAAGAGGCAAAATGGCAAGTGTTTGTTATGGGCTTGCGTAATATTCATGCATTATAGATACGTGTAAAGCCTGGTGTGGTGAATAGGAGTTTCCTGTTAGAGAAAGGGAGAAGCAGGCGCAATGAAAAATGCAGCAGCTACACACTCTGTCAGGCAGATAGTTGCTCTGCCTGCAGCCTCAAAGCAGATGCTAATGTACAGAAACAAAATGGTAAGAGTTATTATAGTTTAATTCTGTGTCAAAGATTGAATACATACAGTATACAGCTTTTGATGTCATCCCATGTGATTCTCTGAGCTAAAGGTCAGCTTTGATGCGTTTAAAAAAATATATAAAGGATGCAAAAAACATACATTAAAAATCTCGCCTAACACAACAAGCTATCTGCAAGCTCCCATTGAATAACCCATGTATCCAATGGCAATTTATCACTTAAAATATTGAGCCATTGAGTCATTGAGCATATCCGAGGAAAAAACAGACAAAAAATACTTGTTTAGAGAGAATCTACACATTCAAAGGGACTCCTTTCCTAGTCTCAATGTTGAATTAGTTTTAATTCCTTTTCAATAAGGCCATTGTCTTTTTAATATTTTGTATAATTATGAGGCATTTTTTATGTCATGTACAACATTATATGCTGTGAACTGAATTCATGAATTGTCTCCACATACCCGGTCACCCAGCCCCTTCCACCTGTGACCTCAGCCAACGGCCTTAGAACCATCCCTAGAAATGTAAGTTAGTTTCCAAGAAAGAAAAATGCCTTTTAATAGTTTCCCCAATTGAGTTCCTCAGTCTTTCTTTTTTGATGCTTTTTAGTTCTTAACAAGATAAGTGACATTACTGAAAAATTGTCATTGTCAATTCATTATTTCGGAATATGTAGATACATCATAGTTCAACCTGGAGAGACTACAAGAGACAAGATGCGTTTAAGAGTTCTTTATGCGTTTGAGATTTTATGGATTGAGTTTGTTTATTGGTTTGGAGCTTAGGCCCCGGCTGTAGCCGTGCTCTGAAGAGATCATGATCCCCAAAAAGGGAGCTTGGCTAGCGATGATGAGCTGTGCTCTGCTTTGCTTTTAAACTCTAGCTTGATTGACACGCTGGCAGGGAGTTGATGAGTTGATTATGACATGAGAAAGGCGTGGTCTAACCAGGTGTGATAACGGAGGTAGTCTACCATCCTGAACCTCCGCTTAAGCTTCATCTTTAGTTTAGGTTCAGTTTCCCTCTACAGAATTACTCTGCTAATGTATCCAATTAAATACATTTTATTTCCTCAACCATTATGTAAGCTTTTCAATGTTCCACTGTATGTGGTTTGTTTGTGCTCTGGGATTGAAAAGTAAACGTGCATCAAGTCTGCACTTTTATATTATAGCGAATGAATCATGTTATGTCATAGTTTAGAATCTGTAATCACTTTATTTGTATATTTGAGCAAATATATAGCCTTGACTAGAAATATGATGAAATGTTTTCAAGAGTGTTACATTCATACATTGGTGTCATGATTCATTCCTTGTTTTGGTGCAATTTCATCTTTTTATCTTCATCAAATTGTTGTTTCACCACTCTTAATATAAAATAAAGTAAATATCTGTGTTCTTTTTGTTGTTGTTTTGACATCTTGAAATTTGGCCTGTTGAATTCACAACAAGCCACCACTTTTAACAGTTAGAAGTCACACAATACAGCTATAGAGTTGTATTATCTTAAAATAATAGATCCTGTTTGATTTGTGTTTGAGTGCTCTTCTTTTCTCTTTTTATTCTGCTGCAGGGAGGGACAAATAAAGGTTTATCTTATCTTATCTTACAAAATATACTCTAGAAAAGTTTCAAACAGTTTCTGATAAAGGAAAAACCAATACAAAAGCCGTATTAAACTAGGTACCAGATTGCCAAGTAGTGCAGTACTACCCAGAAAAAGCAAGAATTTCCCTTCAAAAGAAGCAAGCATCATTTGGACTGTAAGTTGAATAGGCTTATAATACTAAGTGCTACTGTCTTTGTTGTTCCTTTGGCTCGAGAGTCCATGTGCTTTAAAGTCTGAATAGCCCAGTTAACAATGTAGTAATCAACATATTTTTTATTCACCTATCCCCACGGGGATAGGTGAATAAAAGAAGCGTTCTTTATCAAGACCAGAGTGATCTTTCAATAGTTTGAGTTCATGTCTTAGCTTTCAAAAGCAGACCTGCAGAGATGACGCTCATATGATCTTGACTTAGACGTGAGTATCTTTGTCTTTTGACATGTTTGCACATAACCAGGATCCTCTTCTTCTGAACTCCCTGTGTCTTCTGGGATGCCTTTAATTAATTTACACAGTGCAGAGTCTGGAGTGGTGTCAGGCCGGCTTAAGTTCCAGCCCTCTGTCGGGGTGTCAGACCCAGTCATGCGTGTTGGATCTGAACCCGCCTGCTGCTCTTTGCACTCCCTGGGCTCCTCGTGTTCCTTATATCAAGAGTGTTGACATGGCCAGTGCAGGTCACGCAATCAAAGGCACAGGGGCTGGGAGAAAGGCCCAATCTCTGCATGACGGGACAGCCCTCCAGCCTTTGCACTGTCCTCTGGGGCCCACAGCACAGCTAGGGGGCGCTGAAGCAGTTTTCTCAGAACGTCAGAGGTCGCTGGACAATATTATTTCTGCAGCGTTTTTTATTCTGAAACATTGTTTCTGATTCAATCCATCCACCCATTTCCCTCCACTTTCTACAGACGTATCTTGGAGGCTGCAGTCTGAGCAGCCTGCACTTTACTCTCTTCCTCCAGATATTAAATATCTTATTATGAATTCGACCAATCTAATTTGAAAAAAAAAAAGTACTGTGTCATAAAATCCATCTTTGCTCTATTACTAGTTGGCCAAAATGTTTTTTGGCCTCTGTCATATCTTCAGATCAGCTTTTTCAGACAGAAAAGTGAAAAAGAGAGGACCACCCTCACTCAGCCAATGATATCTCAGCCCAAAGATTTCAATAGTAACTCACAAGGCTTTTCTAATAAGATGAAGACAGCATGTTGTGATCTGATTAGTTTATAACATTTTTCTTTTACAAGACTCGTTCTGTGTCATTGAAACACACAAGTTAGATACACAAGCTTTAAGCTTCAGGCGGATTTCATTGGCACTAAACAACCTTGCCCAATTGTTACAAATCTAAGAAAATGATTGTGGTTGCTTAGTCTTTGTTTAAATGGTCAAATTCTTGTTTATATCTCATTTAATAAGGTGTTAGTCTTGAAACAAGTTGCCACTAGTTCTACAGTTGAAAAACGTTTGACATTATATTAATTAACCCCCATTTATCTAGCATACGGCTGATTAATTCTGCAACAAGAACGGATGGATGATTTCTTCTCATAATTTAGCTCATCTCTACGTCAAAAATCTGTTTTTTATTTTTTCATTTTATAAGATATTTCAGAATTTTGAGCACATGTATATGTTTTTACAAACAGTTGTACATTCATGCACACACAAACACATTACATACACACACACAGACACAGACACACACACACACATCCATGCGTATGCATACACACCCCCTGGCCTCTCACCTGCTCTAGGTAGGTATAGCTCCAGATCTTCCCGTCGGCAAAGGTACGGGACACTAGGCGGCCCATGCTGTCATACTCCAGGCGCTCTGTGCTCGGCCCCCTCTGGAGGGCGCTGATCTGGCCGGAGCTGCTACGGCTCACATTTACAGGTAGAAGTTTACTGCTGGGCACCCACAGCACCGGGTGACCAGCAGAGTCATATATGATCTTCAGCAGGAACTTCCGGTGGTCGTCGTAGATCTTCTCTGTCTTCAGGGTGCGGTCGTAATCCACCGACAAGATGTTCCGCCCGTTCACCTGCAGAGGAGAGGCGCCTATGGTCACACACTTTACCACTTCAACACCAACGGTTCAGAATCAGAATATTGTCTATATATGTCAATAATTCAGCTTACAATGGTGAACTAAATACACACAAAATGCATATCAAACGTTTATTAATATTTGGTTCACAGCTTGTGAAAACCCCAAATAAAAGATTAGAATTTTAGAAAATGGACTGCAAGTCATAATCATCAATATTATAACACATTTATAACATGTAATTATAACTTAGTCTACATCTGAGGCCAACAGCAGAACACTTGGAAGAGCATTGGTCATAACCAAACGCAAACAGTCTTAGGTTCTATCCCCCTGCCTGACCTATACACCCCTGAAGTCTGCTGTAGTTGTGTCCGTGGGCAAGACACTTAACCCCACTCGCCCGTTGTCCCATTGTTTGTTTCATGGCGCGACAACGGGACCTCTGAACCTGGCCACCTCCATCTACACCTGCGGATTGCCCTACCCGACCTGCCTTGGAGCTGCTTTAGTCCTGCACTGGACCTGTCCACGTTTTGCGGCCGCTGCGTGGCCCTGGTCCATGTTCTGTAGCTTAAGTCCTGGATCTGTAGCCCGTCCGTCCGTGTGGAGCTGATCCCTCTCTCAATACGTGGGTCTCCCTGAGGTTTCTCAATCTTTTCCCACTGGGTTTTTCTTATTAGTTTTTCCTTGCCAATGTAGGAGGGTCTGTTAGACAGTTAGTGTCTAACAAAAAGGACTGTGGTGATGATCCAGGACACTTTAGCATTCTACGGTTGTCATAAATAATCACAATTTTGACATAATATACTAACAATCAACTACAGTAACATGAGATTTGTTGTTATCAGAAATGCCTTTTTGTGAGGAAAAGTACTTCTAAGACTACAGTGTTCCCTCCCAATAACACGATTCACGTTACACCTTGGGCGGCAGGGTGGCACAGTGGTAAGTGGATAGACTTTATTGATCTCACACAGGAGAAATCAATCAATCAATCAAACTTTATTTATAAAGCGCTTTTCATACAATAAAATGCAACCCAAAGTGTTTTACAGCTTCAAAATCAATACAACATGCCCAATAAACCCCAGCGCCCCACAGACCCACCCATAAACCACCCTAATTATTAGATATACATCCAGATGCATATACCCGTACACACACACACACACACACACACACACACACACAGACATATAAAATCACATCAGATAGGTAAAATAGGTAAAATTATGAAAAGATATAGGGATGGGTGCGGATGTATCCAGCTGAAGAAGCGCCATCCAAGGAGCCATCTGTGCCAGGAGCAGAGAGCAGCTTGCAACCACAGGGGACGTCACAGGACCCAGAGAAGAAAGGAGGCCCCAGACCCCCCACCAGGCCCCCATAGGACCCGGAGGAGAGAGGAGGCCCCAGGCCCCTACTAGATACAAAAGCCAGCCCGCAGCCACAGCTGACCGCCGCTCCCTGTGCAGAGGGCTCTTCCAGAGGAAACACTGGGGATACTAAAACCATACCATAAAGAGTAGGGATGTCAAAAACTATGAATTTTCATGACCGACCACCAAGCCTCATTAACCGGTTGAAAGCGGTTAATCGCGTAGTTTAAAATATTCCACGTTCTTTGAAATAACAGCCATTTCGAGCCGCGTACTTTTCATAAGTGACACTATGCGTTCTACTGGATCAGAGCCGAGACAGCGGCGCCAAAACCCGCAACAGCTTTGGCACCTTTGCGCGCAGAAAACTGCTTTTTTAATTTTCCCATTCTTCTGTGCTGCGGGTTAAAGCTTTTTAGCAGCAAACGACAGCTCGTTCGCATGGAAAGAGCAGCGAGTGACGAGCAGCGTCTCCCTGGTCTCCGCTAAAGTTTAAATACAAGTTATGTCTGTGGAGCTGATCTAATGGCAAGGACCAGCGGCACAAACATGTTCCATGTGGTTTGACTGGAGCCGCGTATTTGCGAGGATCCTTTGGGCTATATGGCCCTGACCTGTGGAGTACCACAGGGGTCGATCCTGGGACCTCTTCTGTTCAATCTCTACATGCTGCCGTTAGGTCAGTTAATACGCAGAAACAAAGTTTCCTATCATAACTATGCAGACGACACTCAGATCTATGTCTCACTGACTGCAGGAGAACATGGACCAGTGGACTCACTCCTTCACTGTATCCAACAGATCAGTGAGTGGATGCAAAACAACTTCCTTCAGCTAAACGCAGACAAAACTGAAATGATTGTCTTTGGTCCCCAGAAACAAAGAGAGAGCGTCATCTGTCACCTACAGTCTCTCTCCCTAAAACCTTCTAACAAGGTCAGAAATCTAGGGGTAATACTGGACTCAGACTTAAATTTTAATAGCCACATCAAATCAGTAACATCAGCAGCTTTTTACCATCTAAAAAACATTGCCAGGATCAAAAACATAGTGTCTAAAGCAGACTTGGAGATTCTTATCCATGCATTTGTCTCCAGTAGGTTAGACTACTGCAATGGCCTGCTCACAGGTCTGTCCAAACAGGCTGTAAAACAGCTGCAGTACATTCAAAATGCAGCAGCTCGAGTCCTGACTAGAACCAGGAAGTACGACCACATTAGTCCGGTCCTCAGGTCCCTGCACTGGCTTCCTGTGGCTCAGAGAATAGACTTTAAAACAGCTCTGCTTGTGTACAAATCTCTCCATGGCCTCGCACCAAAATATATTAGTGACATGTTAGTCCCATATGAACCAGCCCGGACTCTGAGGAGCACAGGGACTGGACTCCTGTTAGTGCCCAGAGTCAGAACTAAACATGGGGAGGCTGCTTTTCAGATTCATGCTGCTAAAATCTGGAACAATCTTCCTGAAGATGTGAGACAGGCCTCCTCTCTGACAATGTTTAAAACCAGGTTAAAAACGGTGCTGTTTAGCTGTGCATACAACTGAGGGATTTTATATTTTTATCTTTCGTTTTAATGTTCTGTAATTATTTATGATTTTAATGCTATCTTGTTCAGCACTTTGAGTTGCCTTGTGTATGAATTGTGCTATACAAATAAACTTGCCTTGCCTTGCCTTGCCTTGCCTATGTGACACAGAGGAGCGCGAATAATAACAATAGTAACAGTAAAACAGCTACCTAATATTAACAATAGTAAGTGACAAAACAGAATACGTAAAATTAAATAAATAAATAAGAACCAAAATAAGATCTGTTTAAAACATAATAAATACTAATCAAAAGCTAATCTAAAAAGGTGCGTCACATCTGGCATGGATAGAATCCCTCAAGATTGTGCAAAAGAAAGAAATGTGCAAATATGTTAAATGCAGAATATATTATGTACAATAGAAAGTGGCAAATTAAAAAGTGGCAATCAAGAAACAGTGTCAATAAGAAGTGCAGATTTTTCAGTCCTAATGCAAGTGACTTAAACTGACTTATTGTACAGTCTGACAGCGGTGGGGATAAAGGCTCTGCGGTAGCGCTCCTTCTTGCACTGAGGGTGCCTCAGTCTTCCACTGAAGGAGCTCCTCAGCTCCTCTACAGTCCTGTGCAGTGGGTGAGAGGTGTTGTCCATGATGGAGGTGACTTTGACTAGCACCCTCCTGTCCCTCACCTCCTCCACAGAGTCCAGGGGGTAGCCCAGAGTGGAGCTGGCCCTCTTGACCAGCTTGTTGAGTCTACTCCTGTCCCGCCCTGTGCTTCCCGGGGCCCAGCACACGGCAGCGTTGAGTGTGGCAGAGGCTACCACAGCGTCATAAAAAGTCCTGAGCAGGGGCCTGCTCACTCCAAAGTCGCCTCCACCTTCTGAGGAGGCTGAGGTCGACTTTGGCCCTTCTTGTACAGGGCGTTGGTGTTATGGGACCAGTCCAGTTTATTGTTAATGTGAACACCCAGGTACTTGAAGCTGTCCACCAGCTCAATATCCTCCCCCTGGATGTTCATCGGTGTGTGGGAAAGTGGTTTTCTCCTGAAGTCGATTACCATCTCCTTGGTCTTACTGGTGTTCAAGCACAAGTGGTTGCGCTCACACCAGTCGACAAAGTCCTTGATAACCGACCGATATTCCAGTTTGTTCCCCTCAGACACACAGCCCATGATGGCGGAGTCGTCGGAGAACTGCTGCAGGTGACAGCTGTGTGCGTCGTATGTGAAGTCTGAAGTGTAGATGTTGAAAAGAAACGGTGAGAGGACAGAGCCCTGAGGGGCCCGAGTACTGCAGACTACCACCTCAGACTCACAGCTGCGCAGCTGCACGTACTGTGGTCGGTCCGAGAGGTAGTTGATGGTCTATGCAGTGAGGTCCACTCCCGCGTCCTCCATCTTCCCCCGCAGCAGTGCCGGTCTGATGGTGTTGAAATTACTGGAGAAGCCAAAAAATATGACCCTCACCGCTCCCGGCGGGCTCCAGGTGGGAGAGTGTCCGCTGCAGTAAGTGGACGACGGCGTCCTCTACTCTGATGGGCCTGTAGGCGAACTGCAGCGGGTCCAGGGTGGGGCTGACCACAGAGCGGAGATGGGTGAGGATGAGCCGCTCTATGATCTTCATCAGGTGGGAGGTCAGTGTGACTGGTCTGTAGTGAGCCGGTACCTTGGCGTGCGCTATGTTAGGAAACGGAAACACAGAAGGTCTTCCACAAGACAGGGACCTTCTCCAGGCTGAGGCTCAGGCTGTAGATGTAGCTGAGGGCCTCAGCGAGCTGGTCTGCACAGGTCCTCAGCAGCCTGGAACTGATCCCGTCCGGTCCTGCGGATTTCCTCTGCTTCAGTCGCTTGAGCTGACTCCTCACCTGCTCCAGTGTGATGGATAGGGGGGAGTGCCATCCGCTGTCCCTCTGGCACTCTGTCCAAAACCAGAGATGTTCTTTAGGCCTCTCCATACGTCGCGGGAGTTTCCCTGTGCCAGCTTCTGCTTCAGCGTTTCCCCATAGTCCTTCTCGGCCCTCCTAATCCTCCACTGGAGCTCGTGCTGGATCCTCTTCTGCTCCTCCCTGTCCCCTGAGATG